TCTCCAGAAGGCAAGACTTTTGCGTGTCCCCTCCCAAATATGTGACCGCAAGAGCCGGCGTCAAGGTATACCCCTTATAAACTGTGAGTATGAATGCTCCTTTGGAGTAATAAACCAGACCTTGGCTGCCTGCAAAAGGATCCTATCACACATCTCTGCCTTCAGCCCCCTTTTCCTTCTGAGCCAGTTCTCTTTCTTTGCTGTGCTCCCCGCCCCCCTGCCCCACCCCACCCCTGAGCTCTGCTGCTTTTCCAACCCGCAATACCTGAAAATTGATTTGGAGGGTGTCTGGAAGTTCCCCCAGCCAGACCTGCCCCCTGCGGCCTTTTCATGCTGTTCATCAAGGTCAAGTTTTAAAGATGTCATATTGGACCAGTCTGTTTGATTTCAATATATTTTAAAAAAAATAGAAAAAGGAAAAAAAAATCTGTTCAGTCCAATATAAGACTCCTGTTTTGCTTCCTGTATGGGTATATCCTATGTGACATTTACCTCTCTCTCTCTCTTTTCCTCTCACTGCTGATCCTGTCCTTGATTTTAATGTTTTCCATTTGTTTTGGCAATCAGTTGTATCATTCCTCTATTATGTTTTTTAATTTTTTTTAAAAAAATCCTTGTTAGCTGTTAGATTTGCACTTATTATTTTTAAAGGGGTTCTGCATTGGAGGGAAGAATTGTCAAAATGTACAGAGGGTGGAGTCCCTCCCATTATTTCTGAGTGCCAGTGGGCGCAGGTGTGGTTGTGTGTGGGGTGGGTGTTAGCATTCCTTCTTCTGTCTTCTTCCTGATGCCTCTGCAACATGCACAGGTCTTCTCTAGAGGTCGGAGGCTGGCTGTGACACGTGACTGCTGCTTGCTAGACAAACTGCAGTTGCGTGACTGCCATACCAAAACGTGAGTTTGCCGTTCTAGTAGCAGCGTGGAAATTCTGAAAAGGACCTGTTTTGTGGGAAAGCAGTATCAAAGGCTCTTCAATCGGCTTAATTTATCACTGTGGGTTTAAATGCCACATGGAAACTTCCCTGATAAGAAAGATAAGATGCACACACAGAAACAATCCAATGCCCCCTCATGTCAGCAACTCAAAATATTTAAAAAAAGGTTTACATTATTTTCAAATCTTTGCTTAGTAAGTATGAAAAAAAGAATAAGTATCTAACTTGCTGCCATAATTTAAAGCTTATTGGGGAGTAGGGCCGGGATGATGTTTGGTGGGTAGAGTAATATTGGGGGTGGGGGTGGGGAAAAAAACTTTTTTGTTGTTGTTGTTGGATTCTGAAAGCTGAGATTTTCTTGTGCTGGGAACACATGAAAATTGTTGAATAGACAAGCAGACTGTGCATGTCTCTGATGCTTTGTATAATTCATACGTGGACATTTGAGTCTTCGGACAATAAACAGTATTATCAAATAAACCGGGAACAGTCTCTCCTTGTCTGGAGCACACTTTGCCATCAGTGGAGGTGTGGACGTTAGAAGGGAGCCCTGGGAATTCATCCTGTGCTGCTCAGCCTCTGTGAACTGCTTTACAAGAGTCACCTTGATGGAGGTAGGTGGAGAGTTGCAAGTTTCCTCCAGGCTTTGCTCTCCACTCTCCCTCTTCCCATGCCCCCCGGCACAAACTGGTCTCTAGTTCCTAATGAGATAAATTGTTGGTTCACTGTGCCTCAGCCTATTTCCAAAGGCCCACCTCCAGCTGTTCTCCCATTTTGATGACTCCCATGTCCCCTTATTTCTTGATGTTAGAGAAAACATCACATCTGGTTCTCTTTAGTGATGTCAAGGAATTATTCCAGTGACATACAGCGACTCCCACAGAATCAGGCTCTGTGTCAAAATATGTGCTGTTTTTCATCCACTTCATGGAAGGAATCCAGTGAGTCTCAAAACTGAATGTATAGCATGAGTGGCCCCTGCTTCTGGCCTACCAGGTACTTATTGCCTTGAGAGAGGATATCCCTTGTGGGGATAATTCCTACTCCTGCTGTTCCATCACAAACCTGGCTTCTGTCTCTGTAAAGACCCACCTTTGCCTCCATAAACGTAACACATTAAATCCCTCATCCACACTCAGTTCTCTGGAGTCATTTCCTTCTCTTTGCCACTTACATTAGGACTGGCTTTCACGTACTGGTACTTCCTAGATTAGTTGTGTGAACTTCTTGGTTTCCTAGGCAAATGCACCTGAAGCTCTGTAGAACTAATACAGATGGGAGGCCTGCCCACAAGCATCAAACTTTATAGAGAGATTAAACTGGGATCTCTTAAGTTACAACAGACTTGCAAATTCACCTCACCTGCTGCAATACTAGGTATGCTCTTTAATACAAGTGCCCAGGAGACCCACGTACAGAGCCATCCACATCTAGTTATGTTGCATACAGCTCCTTATTACTTTAATGAGACAAACCCAGATCACAAAGAAAGTTGATCTTCCTGATAATGGTAACAAGCCCATCTAGAGTGATGTGGTTATTTCTCAGATGGATGGGATGGATCCATAGGTGACCTAACTCTGTAAGTAATGGAAGATCTGGGACCCACCAGATGTTGTTGGACTACAGTTCTCATTGGCTCCAAACAGCATGACAATGGTCAGGGAAGGTGGGAATTACAGTCCCAACAAATACATGGAAGGTCACATTGCCAATGCTTGTTGACCACCATCCCATCCCAAGGGCACTAAAGGAACATAGCATTGTAATGGGAGTGTTCTACTAGATGTCATGGCAGGTATTGTTTCTAAAGCCATAGTTCTGTGATAGAGCTTATCTGCATCTCCAATTAAAAGAGGCAGGAGAACTGGAAAATATCTTTTCTTGAGGCTTTGGAGAACCCCTACATCAAAGTAAGTGATGCTGTGCTGGACCAAACGGCTGACTCAATATAAGGCAGTTTCATATGTTGGGCTTGAACCTATGTAGGCTGTTAACAGAACATGCCCCTCCCCCAATCCTGTGTATATGGGTGTATAGTTGAACCTGGACCAGGGATGCTAACTTGAATAAAATACTGGGGGGAGTCCACCCCAATCCGTCGAGCTGTGCATGGAATTCCAGAGGTTTTTGCCCTCAACCAGGGTCTGTGCTTGTTTGGAGAATTGAAGACACCATGGAGGCTGTTGTAGCTTTAAGGAATATGATTTATTCACAAATCTACACCTGAATATGGATGGAGGGAGTCCAGGCCTTATAGTATGATCATCTCAAGAGGCTCTTGTTCCCCATAGCAGTGCAGCACCAGAGTCCAAGGCATCTCTCCTGCTTTCAGCCATCCTTTTTTCAGTTTTTGGAAGCCACCTGCCAAAGTCCCTAAACTCTTCCTGTGACATCATGCCCAGTTACTCAGGCAACCTTCCAAATCTCCTGTCTCTGTTCACACCTCAGGGCGAAGGGAAGGGCAGTATTCTTCCATTGCCTGTATTGTTTCTGAATGGCCCTAGCTTGGCCAGGTCATTTTGCATAAGAATTCCTCTGCAGCTTGTATACGCCCTTCACATCCCAAATAAAAAAAATCTTACCATTTATTAATTTACAGGTTTTTGGGGGGGTCCCTCCAAACCATAACAGTGTTATAAGAATTTTAAGGTCTTACATATTTAATAAATGTACCAAGCAAACACGTACATAAATATATAAACCACATGTCTGAAGCGGCACAGGAATACAGTCCTGAAACCATTTTGACTCTCAAACTGACCAAATGTTTCTCTGCAAGGAGGGAGGGGGTGATGGAACCTTCCCATTGTCTCAGGAATTGGGTAATTACCATCTCAAAGGAATGGCCAGACTACCAGAAAACGCAATCAGATAAGGCATTATCAGATAACCTGGAAGTCAGGAAAAACAACAACATTCAATTTTTTGTTGTAGACTGCCTTTTCTGTGTTGTAGGTACGATGTTTGTGGGGGGTGGTCTTGGGCTACACCCCTTCTGTGATGTATGTATGATGTATGGAGGGGTGGTCTGGAGCTCCATGGCAGGGAATTTCAAAATGGATATATAAGGGCGGACACACCTTTGTTCTGGGTCATCCTGCGTGTGAGGGGAGCACCCTGTTGCAACAGCTTTAATAAAGATCAGGTTTACTAGCTGCTTTGCTTCATAATATTCTCTGGTTGGCCTCTGTTATTTTCTCCTACCGATGGAGAACCTACAAAGGACTCTTATAAGGGCTCTTGTGTACATAAGGGAATAAGGGCAGGTTTACGACAACAGTACAGTATTATAAAAGGGAAACGTCTCTCTCCCATGACTGACAAGTCACCACGGGAGCTCTTTTTATTTTTAAATTGTTATTTTGAGCTTTTCTACCTTGAAGTTTTCCCTTTACAGTATTAATATTTTTCTCTGTCCAAATCTCTGTTCCTGCCTTGTCCCGGAAACCGTAACAAATGGCTTAGCTATTCAGCCTGAACCAAAATTCTACATTTCCTCTAATTTTAGAATCTGGCAATAAAAACCCGCAGAGAAGAATAACTTAAGCATAAGGCAGGAAAAAGAAATCTACCGTGACGTTTTATGTTTGTTTGTTTTTTGAACAAATAAATCATGGAAAGCTCAAAAATACTGACGAGTTCCACCTACCCACCCACGCACCGCGCGCAGAAGAAACCCCTTCACATTCACGCCCCAATTTATTTCATTTTTCTGCCCCTGCGAGGCACGTGGCAGGAAGTGCTACCCCCGCCCCGTCTCTGCGGGACACTGCGCTTTTTGGGTCCCTAATTCGTTTCTCCTCCAGTAGTCACGCGCCATCCTCTGTGCCCAGCCCCGCCTTGGATCTTTGCACATACATCTATGCAAAACAAACACACATATATCTTTTTCTTAAATATATATATATTGGCAGCGGACAAAAGGTAGCAGCTGCATTCGAGCAAGCGCAAGAGCCAAGACTTCGCCGATGCCGGGAGGGCTACAGCAGGCGGCGCTGCCTTCCCGAAAGCGGCGGCAGGGCGGGCTCCGTTGCGTCAGAGGGAAACCGGGCAGGGCTCCTCGGCTTTCTCCACCCCTTTAGGGCGAGGATTGGGCCCGGCGCGGCGGCAGCGCCAGCAGCAGCGGCCTAGCAGCAGCGCCAGCTGAGCTCTTTCCTGCTCTCCTACGCGGCGTGGACACGTGTGTGTATGTGCGCGCACGCGGGTCCCCCGGATGGTGAGTGTGTGGCTGGGAAGGGGGATGGCGAGGGAGTCTTGGGGGCGGGGAGCGGAGACGAGCTTTCCTCCCCCCTATTTAGTAAGGAGGTGAGCAGGAAAGCGCTTGGGTCGTGGTAGGGCGGCGGCGGCGGCGGCTAGGTGAATCCATGGGGTGGATCGGGGTTCTGAGTGGGTGTGGGCTGGGGATTTGCCTACCCTCGTGCCCTCCCCTACGCCCGGGCTGCGTTGCAGAAGCAAACCTGATGCCTCCGTCTCCAGTTCATTAACCCGCTGCTGCCGCCGCCGCTCGGTTTCTCTGGGCCGGGATGACCCGAACCTTCGCCCAAGCCCCGGGTTCTCATAAACAAGCCCCATATAGATCAGCCCCCCCCCGGCGCGAGCGGCGGGGCGTTGAGGAGGTTGCCATCTCTTCCCCAAGGACTCCTCCGCTCTTGGCTGAGGGGCCCTGGGCACGGTCTTCTTGGGCCCTTGAGAAAGCGCGAGGGTGTGGGTGCCCTTTGCACCAAGGCGGCGATTGCGTTCTGGGGCACCTTGGAAGCGGCGGCTGCTGCTCAGCTTGTGGGGCGCGCGCGGGTGTTGGGGATGGAGATACAGCCTGTGTGGTGCTCATGCTGCGTGCGCGGGCACCGCTTGCTGGGCGAAGGTGGCTGGGGCCTGTGCACGGTCGGTCTGGCGATGGAGAGCAAGGTGGGGTGGGCTCTCGTTCTCTCCTTGATAGACAAATCATGAAGGGGGGGCGTTCTTCTACATCTGGGCCATAAAGCAGCCTTTCCTTCTGCCACGTCCTGTTCTGCTGGCATTCTGACCCACTCAATGGGGCCTGTTAATTCGCTCTGTTCCTTTGGGGATGTGGGCTTGCTGAATCTCCACTCGGCTCCTCATCCCCATGCAAAGAGCTGAGGGTTCCTTTCCCTGAGCATGTGTGCAACATAGCTACTCTGAGCGGAACCGTTACATCTCCTCAAACAACAGCTTTGCCCGCTTGCTCTTCAATCCCAAGGGCACACACAGCAGCACCCTTCTCTCGCCTCTTTGCTGTTCCATTACTATTTGTACCCTATATAAATGCCCTTGACTGCTGATTTAGATGCTGCTGCTTTGGCAAGAGTTAGCAGAGGCCTGCCATGAAAGGTGAGTGTTTTATCCCACATACAAAGCAATTCTCTACCGGTCATTTGCCGGCTATGACTTTCCCTATGTCCCCTTCCAAAGCAAGAGGTAGTCTTGGTCGTATAAGGCATTATTATTATTTATTATTAAATTTGTATACTATACCCGTAGATCTCAGGTCTGTTCACAACAAGGTGAGTTGATTAAGGTGATGTTCATCAAAAGCATGGAAAGGACTAGCCAGGTATGTCCATCCTGCTGGGCACACATGGTGCTAGGAATGAAGTATCCTTGTGTAGGCCAATTTCAGCTGCTCTGGGGGAGACTGACACCATGTAGTGCATCCAGTGGCTTCTTAGGCGATAACCAATAACGTAATAGCTGTTGTAGAAAGGTTCAATGTCATGGTAGCTTCAGATGAGCATCATAACATGTGGAAGATGCTCACTGCATGCCTTAGGAAACCTCCACACTAGTAACTGAAGAAAGTGCAATCTCCCTACAATGAGCTAGCTACTAGTGCAAGTATTTTTTATTTATTTTTTTGTGGGCTGGGCAGAATGGTTGCCGCCTTTTGCATGAAGAGCTGCTATATGTACTTTATAGGACGCATAGGAGGATGTTTTAGTAGGACTTGTTGATGGAAGCCTCTCTCTCTTTTTGAAAAACCAAATATAGACTAGTCTTTTTACAAAGGCACTTACGAGATGGGTAACAATGTTCTGAATTCTACTCTGTTAGGAGAGACACCTGTGGTTTCTATCTGGGGTGTTTTGCTTCTTCTGTTTGCTAGTCAAATCTGAGTTCAGTCCAGGCACTCCTTAGGTGACAGAGTAATCCTTTTTTTTCTTACATTGTAGTGCTGACTTCCCTATTGGAGGAAGTGGCAAATCTCAGGCCTTCCAATTACAGCTGTACCTTGGATCCCGAACGCCTTGCGAGTCGAATCTTTTGGATCCCGAACGCCGCAAACCCGGAAGTGAGTGTTCCGGTTTGCAAATGTTCTTTGGAACCCTAACATCTGACACAGCTTCCGCGGCTTCCGATTGGCTGCAGGAACTTCCTGCAGCCAATCGGAAGCCATTCCTTGGTTTCTGAACGTTTTGGAAGTCAAACCATTCAACTTCCGAGGTACCACTGTATAGGTCTTCAAGGTGATAGTTTGTTACAAACTATCTTGTGGCTAAAATTGTTCCAGCAGTTGGAGAAAAACTAAAATATGCCATCTTCTCTTTTGTAAACCAGTTCCCAATTTCACTGCAGGCTCTTTCAAGAGCTGAGCCATTTTTTAGGGCGTGGCCTATAGAATGCGGGGCACAAATATTTTCTTAGTGATTGATTCAGGGGAAATTAAATAGCAGGTGATCTGGGTTACTGGGTAGGATGTTTATGTGGGAGAAACAGCAGTGTAATCCTATAATCAGGTGTACTTGTAAGTAAACCCTGTTTAGTTCAGGGGGGCTTACTTCCAGATATGCGAGTCTTGGATCACAGCCCAAAATAATTTGAAGTGACTATAGAGGTGATTTGAGAGATAATCAGGACAGGTAGCTGAAGGGCAAATTAATTGATTTGGAGCAGGATCTACTTTGGAGGTAATTGAATTGAAGAGGAACTGATTTGGGGTCATCTGGGGTAGAGTGAAAATGAATGGAAGAATTTTATCTGGGGTGATGTGGATGGGTTGATTTGTCTTCTGTGACATTGCAAAGTTAAATTTGCATTGTATAGAAATAAAACCAGCATATGCCAACTTGTGTCTATGAACCTGGGCCGCAAATCCTTCATTCTACCTAGCCATGATGCTACTGCTTGATACCTTGTTAGAGTTTTAAGGGGCACCTTTCACAGTGAATGCTCTTAAGTCCTTGGTTTGTCTTCTGGGAGGCAGGTCTTCTCCGTGTTGAGGAGTGGAAATTGTTGGGCCCAGCAAAAAAAGAGAGGTATGCTAATGGGGTGCATAAAGGTATTTAGGAACATGCTTTGACACTGATTGAATTGCAGAAAAGCAGGCCTACTAGACTAGACTTGGGATGTATTTATTTTGCAATTTTTAATCCATCAGACTTTCAAAGAAGTGAGTTTCTAGCTTGCATGATGAGAAAAAAATTGATGTATGTATGAGCACTGTTTGTTAGCTGCTGCAAAGATAATAGGGTGGGAGGTGGGTGGGTGTGATTTCAGGCCCAGGGGTTCACTTGCGGCCATTCAAGATTCTCTAACTAGGCCTCAGGACTCCCATCCCCAGGCCATGTGACTTACCTGCCCTGCTTCACACCCGCTCCCCCCCCCCCTTGGCTGCAATGTGTCCTTGATCTCTGATCATGATTCTTGTTTACCTGGGATAGAGAAGCCTGTATATTGAAACTAGCCTACTGTATGCAGGTAAAATGTATGTTTACTGCTCTGCCTGCTTTTGCCTCTGGTCCCGCCTACCACTGGCATGTGACCCCCCCCCTTCCATGCAGCTTTCAGGGTTTCCTGTGTTTTTCTTGTAGCAAGGAGACAGCATGAGTGTAGCTGCTCTCACAAATTCATGCTGCTTAATCCCACCTTTGGGAAAATGGAACTTGTGGACACACTCCCTGCTTGCCCAATACAGAATACGGTTTGGAACGGTGTTGCAGCATTCTGAGTTAAATGCAGATTCCCTGGAAATGGTGTTTGAAATTGAATTTGTGGTGGCGGCGGCTTTATATAGTGCTCTCGGTGTTTCATGACCCTTTAGAAAATTAAAAAGGGGACAGGTTTCTGCCCCCAAAAGTGCTTGCAGCCCCAAATGGGGAGACAGGAGTATTGTGAATAGAGATGGAGGCAGGAGGGTAAACAAAGGAGAATTTTTGTCATAGTCAGCCTTGTAGGCTGCAGAGGTAAGGGGCTTGTGTGAGAGGCTTCGTGGGGGAAAAATTGGGCCAAATGCTTTCTTTTCCAGCTCTGCCCCGCCGAGCAAAGTCCCCTTGCTAGCAGTGCGGCCTCTGCCACCCACAAGTGATGCACCATGCCCATAGTGGACAAGCTGAAAGAAGCCCTCAAGCCTGGGCGGAAGGACTCTGCTGACGATGGCGAACTGGGCAAGCTGTTGGCTGCTTCTGCCAAGAAGGTTTTGCTGCAGAAGATCGAGTTTGAACCAGCCTCCAAAAGCTTCTCCTACCAGCTGGAGACGCTGAAGAGCAAATACGTTCTATTGAACCCCAAGACAGAAAACCCCAGCCGACACAGGGGCTCTGAAGAGGGACCCATCCGGAAGCAAGGTGTGCCCGTATTCTGGGGGGAATGGTTCTGTGGGAACGGGGGTGCATGTGTACCCGGCCTTGCTGACTTCCCCTGTTCTTCTTCCTCTCTGACAGGCGGTGAGCACACCTTGGGAGGAGATGGAGTTCCAGCCCCACAGAAGGTCCTCTTCCCTGTGGAGCGCCTCTCTCTGAAATGGGAGCGGGTGTACCGTGTCGGAGCCGGTCTCCACAACCTGGGCAACACCTGCTTCCTCAACTCCACCTTGCAGTGTCTGACGTACACCCCACCTCTTGCCAATTACCTGCTTTCCAAGGAGCACAGCCGCAGTTGTGAGTGTGGGGTGTTTGGTTGCATGTGGAATGGTTGGTGCCCCTTGGCAAAGCTTGCGTGTCATCTGTCTCTTTTCACCTAAGAGTTGCAGGTAGCAAAGGCTTCAGCAGCCTCCTGCTTTTCATCTCAGTGCCACTCTGCTGAGGCTTTCATGAGAGATGGGCCAGGAACAGCAATGCATAATGCTCAGTCCTTAATGGTAGTAAAACAGGAGCACCACGGCTAAGAAACTGAACTGTGAATCGCAGTGTTTCAGATTTTGCTGTGCCATAAACTGACCTTTGGTCAAGCTGTTCCCTTTTAACCTCATCCTCCCCATCTCTTGTATGGCTTTTATAATGCCCAAAACTACCTTTCAGGGTTGGGATACACATTATAAAGAGACAGTGCAAGTGTAGTGCTTGTGACCACTTCAAGCTGCTGTGCAGAAGCTTAAGTGTTACTATAACCCTTTGAAGCCACTCCAAAATTCTGCACAAGAGAAATTGGACCCTCATCTTTCTGAGTCTTGGTTTTCTCACAGCCACAAAAAAATCCTGTTCTGTTATGCTGCAAATCTGCATGTTTTTCATTGGAAAGAACATTTACTCCATGCAAGGGCTAAAAAATTCCTTATTCCGTTGTTTTCAGAAATTGTCTCGGGGTTTCAGCGAGGGGAGAAATTGAAACATTTTGGTTAGAAGCCTGCTTTTTGAATGGATTTCTTGTATGAGAAAATACTTCCTGGGAATTTATAGTGTTAAAAAATATGCTTCCACTTGGCTGTGTTTGGAGAGAGGGGCTTGAACGATGGAGCATTATTTGGCCCTTCTTTCTCATGTTGTCAAAGTCTTGGGGCACCCCTTGTGACAAGAGGGGGCTGTATTGTGCCCAGCCACAAGAAAGGGGTTGCATTGTTATGTGAGCTTGAGGAGGGGGTTCTGCTTGAAACATGGTGCTGGTGGGAATGGGAAAAGATGGTGTGTGGATCCAAGGTCAAATAGCAGGCAGTGCGCCTTGTCCCCTCCACAGTTCTGCAGCTGGCAGTTCCCTTGCAGCCCTGTGCACTCATCCTTGCTGTCAGGGCCTGGTAGGCTGTGCTAACAGCTGCAAAGGAGCAGAGCCAGCACTTGGTTGCACGAGAACTGCTGCTCTAAGCACCCGACTCATCCTTGTTAGAGGAGCGCTGACTCCTAGTTAGGGGAGTGGACCTGAATGGAGGGAGGCGGGTGGACAAAAGATGTCCCTCCAAAAAAAAAAAAGGGGGAGGGATGAAGAGGAACTATTTGGATTATGGCAAATTTTGCTTTGTACCTACTTGCCAGCTTCTTCAGGCTTGAGAAATCTCACACATGGCTGTAGCGTTTTGGTTCCCTGAGCATCTCAGCCTAGTGGACTGCATTTCTGAGTACTTTATGATGTGCGTGCAACGGGGCTAGGAGGCTATTCCCTGCATCTAACAGTGGTCTGTTCATGTAAGCTATTCTAGCAAGGGGTTGTTGATTCTGTGACCATGGAGGAGATGCCTGCACAAGAGATGGGGATCCTGTGCCCCTCCAAATAATGTTGGGCTCTTTATCCCATCAGCCCCAGCTAGCATGGTCAGGGGTGGTCTGAGGTGGGAGCCCAACAGCATCTGTGGCCCCACATGTTCCCCACCCCTAGCCTACAGGTAAGTGCAGGCTCTGCACTCCAATTTGTGCATTGATTATATCAGTGAGTAGCTTTCCTTGTCACCTTAAATTGCCTCCAGCAGAGAAGAGGCAACTTTTTTCTTGATGCGTATGCAGCTACTTCTGCAGATGGTTTATCATGAAGCACGAGTGGTACATGGCCCTCAAAGCCTGCCTTTCTCTTTCTTTTCCTTTGTCGCCATTGGCCAGCAGGTTATTTATTTAGTAATGGCTGCCAAAATGCCCTTCTCCTAGGCAGAGCTCTTCTCATGGTTTTTCTGGCTCTGTGAGAGTTGCTCCGTCAGACCTTTGTGCAGCCTTTGCATGAATTCATTCCTGATCTCTTCTCTTGCAGGCCACCAGGGAGGCTTCTGCATGATGTGTGTTATGCAGAATCACATGATACAGGCTTTCGCCAACAGTGGCAATGCCATCAAGCCGGTGTCCTTCATCCGAGATCTCAAAAGTAAGCAGCTGAGGGAGCTTTGTTTTGATGAGGCTATACAGTGCCGTTGTGATGCATCTCACCAGTACATACAGGGAAAAGGGGCCAAAGATCTCTTTGTTTGAAGTGTTGACTGTAGAGTGTGTGTGTGTGTGTGTGTACACATGCCATACACTGCACTGCACATGAAAAATCCAGGTGCGCAGATCACCCCATTGTGGAGCTAAGTCTGAAGACGTGGCAGCTGGGCGTGCAGATAAATAAATACATAAATAGATTAGAGGTATTTTTGGCGCTCCTTTTGTTTCTTCTAACCATCCAACTGAGGTTGCTGGTATTTAAGAAACTACGAAAGGGAGATTGAAATGCACTATATCCTCATCAGCATTTTGCTTAGTTCAGCATTCTGCAGAATCTAGAATGGTTTGGGGTTTTGTGTGTGTGTGTGTGTGCGCGCGCGTGCGCATGCTAATAAACTTCATGTAATTCCTGTGCCCCGGTCAAGTGTCAGCGATGCCTGTTACCTTGGCATGAGCTTGACCTGTGCTGGGCGGGCATAGGAAGCCAAACTTCAGAGTCCTTTTCCTCCACCTGGCAGAGATTGCTCGTCACTTCCGCTTTGGCAGCCAAGAAGATGCTCACGAGTTCCTGCGCTACACCATTGATGCCATGCAGAAGGCCTGCCTCAATGGTTACACCAAGTACGCACAGCTCCCTGTCTCTGGGGTGGGGAGGGTCAGGGCCGTACCTTTCACTTGGTTGCAAAGAGATGGGCAGGATGAGATCCTGCCACCTTCCCCTGTTGTGCAAACAGCTTCTTGGAAGCATGAACCTTCACAGGTGGAATGTGGGTGGGGGAAAGGCGGGGCATGCTGGGTAAGTCACCACTCAGCTAACGGTGGCTGCTTCTCCTTTGCCCAAGGGAGCAAAAGCTAGTAATCCTCCCTAGGGAGGAAAGCCCTAAGGGCTGCTTCTATGTCCCTGCCACTGTTGAGGCCCCATATTGCTTCATGAAGGTGTTCTCCACTCTCTTCCTAACCCTGGGCTGCTTTTCTTCCCAGGCTGGACCGCCAGACCCAGGCTACCACATTGGTGCACCAGATCTTTGGCGGCTACCTCCGATCTCGTGGTGAGCACAGCTTTAGCCCGGTACCTTTCACGCCCTTTATGCTTGAAGCGTTGACCAAGTCCTAGTGATAACTCTACAACTCCAGCTTTTCCTTCATTGCCCAGCTGCGCTTCTGCAATGCCCACCTGACTTGTGGGCGCACACAGCTGCTGATGTCCCAATACCGTGAGAGTTTCCTGCGGGCTTCATTTGGCCTCTGCCCAGGGTTTGAAGAGGATATTGGGAATCGGGGGATTTAGCTGCTTCCCGTGCTGGTTTAGCTGCTTCCCGTGCTAGCTGCCGAGGTGGAAGCGTTGATGTCTTGGAAGTCCCGTTGTGAAATATGACCTTGGCAGGCAGCTGAGGCCATGAAGAGTAGGCAAGCAACTCTTCTGCTTTCTTTGCAGTGAAATGCTCCGTGTGCAAGAGTGTTTCGGACACTTACGACCCCTTCCTGGATGTGGCTTTGGAGATCAGGGTATGCCAGTGTTAAATCAACGCTTTCCCCTTTTATTTCTTTTCCATGGTAGGCCTAAAGAGGGACATAGGCTGGCAGGGGATTTGCAAATATGAGCAGATTCATGGTGCTTTCCTACTTATACATGAGCGCTGCATGTAGGGAGGCATATAGCATGCACTGAAGTGTAGCGAGCAAGTGGCATATAGGTACTCGGTTGCCTGTGCACGGCTGATGTATAGAAAATGATAATAATGGTGGGGTGGGGTGGGGAACCTGTGGCCCTCCAGATGTTGGACTCCCCAACCAACATGGCCAATAGTGAGGGATGATGGGAGTTGTAGTCCCACAATATCTGGAGGGACAGAGGTTCTTCATACACTGGGCAGGAAGAGAAAAGGGCTTCCCATCTAAGCTAAGATAACAGTAGCCGGGGCGGTAGTGGGTGAATGAAACCACTTCCTAAATAATAATAATACTAATTTATTATTTATACCCCGCCCATCTGGCTGAGCTTCCCCAGCCACTCTGGGCGGCTCCCAATCGAGTGTTAAAAACAATACAGCATTAAATATTAAAAGCTTCCCTAAACAGGGCTGCCTTCAGATGTCTTTTAAAGATAGGATAGCTGCTTATTTCCTTCACATCTGAAGGGAGGGCGTTCCACAGGGCGGGCGCCACTACCGAGAAGGCCCTCTGTCTGGTTCCCTGTAACCTCACTTCTCGCAATGAGGGAACCGCCAGAAGGCCCTCGGTGCTGGATCTCAGTGTCCGGGCTGAATGATGGGGGTGGAGACGCTCCTTCAGGTATGCAGGACCGAGGTAAAGAACTAAAGAGCCATCAATAATCATCATCATCATCATCATCATCATCATCATCATCTAATGACAACAACAACAATTTTATTGTTTATATGCTGCCCATCTGTCTGAGTTTCCCCAGCTGCTCTTTTCAGAGCTCACCTGAGTGTAGTTATAACCTGAGCTTTGGTGTGATTTCTGTATGAATGTCCCTCTTCTGTTTGATTACAGCAGACTGCCAACATCGTGCGGGCATTAGAGTTGTTTGTAAAGGCTGACGTGCTAAGTGGAGAGAATGCCTACATGTGTGCCAAGTGAGTTGCCTTCCTCTTGACCTATCCATCTCTCCTGTTTGGCACCTTTTCTTTTGCATAATGACGCCTTTATTTATTTATTATTTAAAAAAAACACAGAAGCATATTTCTAGAATGGAAGTGCTAACTTATGAGGTCAGGCAAATATGTTCTGCTCCACAGCTTCAGTAACTGCTGACTCATGCTTTAAAAAAAATCTGTAGGAAAAAGAAAAGGGAGGGGACTAGGCTCACCTCTTAGCTATTTCCAAAGTGATGAATTGGGTTGGTGGTGGGAATAACGAAGCAGAAGAGAAGTTTGGGTATGTATCTTCACAGTGTGTGGTGTTATTTATTTATTTATTTGGTGCCTCTGCCTTCTACAGTGGTACCTCAAGTTACAGATGCTTCAGGTTAACAGACGCTTCAGGTTACAGACTCCACTAACCCAGAAATAGGACCTTGGGTTAAGAACTTTGCTTCAGGATGAGAACAGAAATTGTGTGGCCCCAATAGCTAAAGTAGTACCTCAGGTTAAGAACAGTTTCAGGTTAAGAACGGACCTCCAGAACGAATTAAGTTCTTAACCTGAGGTACCACTGTACTTGAAACCAAGCCATTTCCCTGATGGTTTCAAGGCCACCTGCAGGGCAGAAGATGCTAGCTTCATATGCAGGGAAAGACTTAATAGCCTTCCCCACCCCCGGGTCTCACGAGGGGGCAATTGTGCAGCTGCATAGCAGGAGGGGAGTTCTCAGGGCATCCCCCGTTTTCACTGAGCCTTGCAACGAGGAGCCAGAGTGTGTTGATATTTCCTCTTCTCTGTGCCAGGTGCAAGAAGAAGGTGCCAGCCACCAAGCGCTTCACCATTCACCGGGCATCCAACGTCCTCACCATCTCGCTCAAGCGCTTCGCCAACTTCAGCGGGGGCAAGATCTCCAAGGTACGTGGCGATCTGGAAAGCGGGGAGGGGGAACAAAGACGTCCCTTCTCCTCTGGAAGAGGGTTTGGAGGAGCGCTCGTGGCTGCTGTCTTTCTGACCTCATGCCAACCCTTTTAAGGGTTATACAAGTACTGAAGAAATGAACCTATGCTGCCCATTCTTGTAGTAGACCGGTATAAAGTAAGCAGCACATAAGTGGCACGCAAAACACTAAAAAACCGTTCTACTTTCTAAATCTTGTATTAATAATCAAAAAATTGAGAGAGCTATGTACAAGATCTACTACAGAAGCCACAAACAGAAACCTCATTCAAATTGTGTCCAAAAGGAAGATACAGTCTTTAAATGTTCCTTTAGCCAGGCTCCTGTAGATATCAACGAGGATAAGTTTGATCAAACAAAGTGTCGGTGATGTTACGCACAAGAGTTAGACGGGGTGCTGGCGTTTGTCACCTGTTTCACCCATGAAGAGTCCCGGGCTTCTTCAGTAAATTCTCTTTCACGGTTTTGATATATTTATAAACATTCACTGGTGGCATAAACCAAAACTTATTAGTGTTTGAACAAAATTTCTAAATAATATCTGAACCGACAAGTACAAAAGTCTATACTTACAGTCCATTTCTTCTTAGATTAAGCTACAATATTTAATTTCTTTCTTCAGGAAATTGTCCCTCAAGATTTTGGTGTATTTACATACATTCACTTGTAATATAAACCAAAACCTGATTAACCTTTAAACATTCATTATATAATTTTTGAGAGTATAAATTCAAAAATCAATACTTACACTTCATATGCTAAGTTCTTTCTTGACCCATGGATGCTTTCCTTTTTCCCTTGCAGGATGTCGGCTACCCTGAGTTCCTCAATATCCGCCCCTACATGTCTCAGAGCAACGGTGACCCTGTCATGTATGGCCTCTATGCTGTGCTGGTACATTCAGGATACAGCTGCCATGCGGGGCACTATTACTGCTACGTCAAGGTGAGTCCTTTCGTGTGTTGTCAAAGGGCAGCCCTGGCAGTGGAGAGGGGTGCTTTGCACCCCAGGCTGTGGGGTGGTCATGTGAAGCATTGGCAAGCATCAGTGTGGAAGGCTGAACTGCGTGAATGCTCTTCAGAACCCAGCTGGGTTTAAGTGTGTCTAGCTATCTTGCTTGGAATTCCTGCTTTCTCACTTTGGCTCCCTGCTGGCATTCGGAGTGGCCAGGCTTTTAATGCTGCTTTCTCCAGAGGTTCAACAGCAAAGAAACTTGGTGATTGCAGACAGTGCATCTCTGGAGCTCTGATGTTCATGTCCAAATGTTATAAGTTGGCTGGAAGTTGTAGGAGGCAGCCTGCTGGAAAAACATTCTCTCCAGCGGGTGCAGAATGCAGCAGTAAGACTCTTTCCAGGGTCCTCGCCGCAGGATCACATTCACCCAGTGCTATACCAGCTGCACTGGCTCCCGGTGGAGTACAGGATCAGGTTTAAGGTGCTGGTTTTAACCTTTAAAGCCCTATACGGCCCTATAGGACCCTCGTGCCTACGGGACTGCCTCTCCTCGTATGTCCCACAGAGGACCTTACGGTCTTCAAACTAAAACATCTTGGAGGTCCCAGGCCACAGGGAGGTTAGGCTGGCCTCAACCAGAGCCAGGGCTTTTTCGGCTGTGGCCCCGATCTGGTGGAACGTTCTGTCACAAGAGGCTAGGGCCCTGTGGGACTTGACATCTTTCCGCAGGGCCTGCAAGACAGAGCTGTTCCACCAGGCCTTTGGCCAAGGCACAGTCTGACCCCCTCCTTTGGTAATCCTCACAGAACTCTAGCCCAATGGTTGCCATTAATTTGATTTTGAACTGATTTTAAAATGAATTGATTTTAGAATGCTGTGTTACTTTTATTGTTGTTAGCCGCTCTGAGCCCGGCTTCGGCTGGGGAGGGCAGGATATAAATAAAATATTATTATTATTATTATTTTATTATCTCTAGCACAAGAATTATCCAACCGTTTATTGCCCTAGTTGGCTTTATTCCTACCCATAGTAGCCAGCCAGATGGCAAAGGGGAAGTTTAGAAGTGGGGTAACTAACCCTCCTAGGGTTATTCTCCAGCACTTGGTATTGTTATCAGTGCATGTGGATGTTGGATTCCTGGCTGTCATGACTTGCAGCCACTGGTACATCTGTTCATGAATTTATCTGGTCCAGTGTTTCCCAGACTTGGGTGTCTGGCTGTTTTCGAACTGCAATTCCCATCATCTCCGCTTCTGGACTTGCTAGCTAGGGATGATGGGAGTTGTAGTCCCAAAACAGCTGGAGACCCAAGTTTGGGAAACATTGACCTAGTCCCTTTTTTCAATGAAGCGTATGCCTACCTTTGATGGTGTGCAGTGCTTGTTCCCCTCCTGCCTAACGCTGCTCTTCTGTGCTGTGTTGTAGCTACAAATCCTCCTTCCTCTTCCCATTTTCAGGCTAGTAATGGGCAGTGGTACCAGATGAACGACTCAATGGTGCATTCAAGCAACATCAAAGTTGTCCTCAATCAACAGGCATATGTGCTTTTCTATCTTCGGTAAGTGGGGCATGGTATGGGACCTGCCGTTGGCAGCCTCTCTTCATGCCTGTTTCTTGGGGTGCCCTTCAATCCACCTGTCACCTTTATGCTAATCGAGTGGAGTGGAGAGGAGCAGAAGTCCATTTTTTTTTAATGGAGGGAGGAGCAGGCTGGGGTCAACTGGGGGCGATGATAATAACACGGTTGTTGCTAATGCTGGGAAGCACCCTTGCCCATTCTTAACCCATCACTGTTTTAGCAGGGTCCTCAGCTACTTCTGCTGATGTGGTTTCCTTTTCATTTTGCTGTGATTGCTAAATATCATCTCATGTAAATGAACAAAATATTCAGAGGGAAGCAGAGTGCCTGGCAGTGATCCACAAATAAATAGCAGCGAAAAACCCAATAATATGTACCTTTTATAAAAGAAACTCTAAAAACCAAGTGTGTTTAGACCAGAGGTCGGCAACCTAAGGCCCATGGGGAGGTCTGCCAACCCCTGGTTTAGACCCTCTTTCAATAAAGTCTTTCTCTGTGATAAAATGTACATCAATGCTAATGAGTAGCTGCTCTGCCAAACTGTTCAAAGGCCAATATATACGAGAATACATTTTTTTAAAAAAAATCTTTCTATTCAGCATTTGCACTGCCCTTTATTGTTGAAGTCTTCAATTTATGAATGACCTCACACCAACATCTGTAGAGGTGTGGTGCTTTTCCGTTGATCATTTGTAATCAATAATAAACCCGGGTGTTACATTTTCATGCGGTGCTTCAAATGCTGCAACAGTTTGAATTGTATTGTACTCTTGCATACTGTCCATTGAATAATTTGAGGGGCCTATGCATTAGCAATGTACAATCTATAGCTGGCAAAGAGTTACATAAGTTGAGATGTTTTTGTGTTTTAGATATTCCTTTGTGTTCATATTGTTTTATGTTGGGCTTTTGGGGTTGTTTTCTGTTTTATGGTTTAAAGTTGTTTTCCTTAACTTCTCTATTTGCTTTTCTTTTTTTAAATCCAAGACCAAACAAATACTTCTGTGTTCTTTTGTATTTGTAAACTGTAGAGCAGTGGTAGGGAACCTCAGACCTGTGTCCCAAATTAGGTGCTCCAGGACCTTCCCATTTGGCCTGCAATGTGGCTTTTTTGCGGGGGGGGGGGAGGAAGCCCAGCTGCTTATCACTTCATGCCGTTTAATTCCGGCGTGTAAATGGTGAAGCTCTGGTGTCAAATTCCAAAGAAATGCTTGAGAGAGCACACTATAAATGTGTGTTATAGTTGTTAGGGTACCTGATGTCATGGTGGTGTCTCTGGTGACTGATAAATGGGCAGCCCTGCCTACCCATCGGAATGGATTGCAGAGGGTGCCCCAATTCTTGGCCCGGATGATTTGCCAGATCCAAAATAAACTCGCCTTGGCTCATCAGCCACACCCAGTTCCCCACCTTGGCTGTAATGGAATCCTTCATACTGAAGAAGGTTCACAGCACCTGCATTCTCTTGCCAAAGATCAGGGCTTTAATCCCTGCCCTATTAAACCTTGCCGCCTTGGTTGCATGATCCTGCTCTGTGCTGGGAACCGGATTGTGCAGCCAGTGCAGGATTGAAAGCTCCCATCCATCAGCTGACAACACTGGTGACATCAGCTGATGGGCAGGTGGGTGTGGTTTGGAGTAAATGGCCTCCCTGAGCTAAATTAGTCCTGGTGTGCCAAGATTGGCCTAAGAGCTGGAGGTTCCCCAGCCCCTGGTCTGAAGAGTAGGGTGACCTCTAAAAATAGTGATAGCCTTAAAGTACAAGTTCCTCCTTCTTCTTCCCCCTTTTCAAGGATCCCAAGTACCAGGAAGAATTCTGAGGGGACCATCTCCAAAAGCACATGCCCTGCATCCAACCGAGCAAGCATAGTCTCCGACCACATGAAGAAAAGCATGACCAATGGTGCCCTCGCGTCACCGCTGATGAGCAAGGTGAATATCTGCATAGTCCGCCTGCCATCCAGAATTTCCCACCGTCAGAACTGTGTGTACTTTGAACTTCAAAAGGAAAGGGGAAAGTCTTAAGCTGAGCAGTGCAGATTCTGGGCTGAGGAAAAACAAAACCCAGTGACCTGTAAAAAAACCCCAAAGTAAATTGAGAGCGAGTACAGTACCCTGAAGCTCTCTTCAGCTACTGAAAAATATTACGCAGTCTCTTCTCTGGGTTGGTATGTTATCCGCACACTTTTCATCAGCGGCCATAAGTGCTAGCAAGTTTATTTTTTGGGGGAAATTGAAATTCTTCCAGCCATACAAATGCACTGCAGCAGGCCGGCAGCCAGCCCAAGACACTGTTATGAATTGTGGGGAGTATACTACAAAAGATTGATGAAATTGTTGGGTTGATGCTTCCGATGCAGTCACAAAACTGGCATTTTGAGTGTTAATATGTGGAGGAACTAAAGCCTTGTTCTGCCCCCAGCATCTTTATGGGAAACGTGTTTGCAGTTTTATGTAATGGATGGGGTGCCAGTAGTTGGACATCTTAGTGCTTCTTCTCCACACTTATTCTCACAGAAGTGGTAAACCTGTGAGTGGATTGTACCACTTCAGGCTGCAAGGGGGAAGGCTCACATGACTGAATGCTTCTTTGCCTAGAAAACAAGATGGCAGTGAGAGGTTTGGCCTAGCCATTTCCCTCGCATTCCAACTTCTATGTGAAGTATATCAAAATAACTCGAAAATGGGGGTGCATTCCCTCACACGAGCCCTCTCCAGTGGTGTCAGTTGGTATGGTCAAGGAAGTTATTCGTTTTACCCCCAAAGTACTTTTCCTTAAGTTGACAAAGTACTTTTCATTAAGTTAACAAACAACTTAACAAAGAATATAATAAGAGAATACAATCATTACAGTTGGGAGATAAGAAATAAAGTAGCTGTTACACTCAGTGAGTTAGCGCCCAAGTAAAAGATTTTATGGCCTAGAACTGCACCATAACAGGCAGTCTATTGTAATAATCAGAGATCATCTCTGAAATAAAGTACAGTGGTACCTCTGGTTAAGAACTTAATTCGTTCCGGAGGTCTGTTCTTAACCTGAAGTACCACTTTAGCTAGTGGGGCCTCCCACTGCCGCCACACCACCAGCGCACGATTTCTGTTCTCATCCTGAGGTAAAGTTCTTAACCTGAGGTACTACTTCCAGGTTAGCGGAGTCTGTAACCCGAAGTGTTTGTAACCTGAGGTACCACTGTACTCTTAGTAGCAGCTGATAATTTAACTATTCCAGGCATTTGTTTAAACCAGTGGGACTTGGTGTCTGTGAACCTGCTGTGTTCATACAGAATATGAAATAAAATCAAACCAGGCATTTTGGCCTCTGGGTAGTTTTAATGTAACATGAATTTTTTTTGAAGGAGAGGGCAGTTTGCCAAGTCTTGGTATACCAGTAATCCAAATCTCCAAGATCAAAAGTCTTCCAGAACTTGGCAATGGTAGCAGTCAAGACAGTCCTCTCCTGTTTTGAGAACAAGGCCAGAGCCCACTGACTTGAATGGTAATAATAAATGCATCAGTTGCTTCCCAGTGGATCAGATGGGGGAAATCTTAATGCTGAGTAATGTGTAAGTGAACTGCATGACTTTCATGCAGCTAGATAACCTTATATGCCGTCTGCTTATACATCTGGCAGTTTGCGGGTATTGCGTTTGGATTGGTCTGAACAGTTTATTGAGCAGGGGGAGCGATTCCCATTTTGTGGTGTTGGCTCCACCTGTCTTCGTTCAACACCTGTTATCTTCTGTCGCTACAGAGGCAAGATGTGACACAGGCCAGGAAGACATTGGACCCTGAGGAACCTGGCGTCCCTGTTCCCCGCAGCTCCTTTGCTTCCAACTCCAAACCCCAGAACGGGACGCTTCCTCCTTCTCCTCATCCGAAGCTCATCCCTGCTGTTGGGTTCTCCTCTCCTAAGCTCCCTGCCAAGCTGTCTTTCCTAGACGACTTCAGCAAGAGGTCCAAGAAGCAGCCTCTCTTGCCACTCAAAACATCTCAGGACTTCAGCGAGGCCACCAGTGTCAGGGTGGAGATGGGCAAGCAGAGCTCCTGGGGAGACAAGGGGTTGGCATTGTCTTCACAGCCGCCAGAGGCTCCCAGAGGAGACCCTGAGGCCAAAGTTCGTGAGGAAGGCCCAGAGGTGCCGAGCAAGGCCTCCTCGCCTTTGACTTCTTCCTCCTCGTCTTCTTCCTCCTCGTCCTCTTCGAGCAGCTCCTTTTCCTCCAGTCCAGCACATCGCCCAGCCAAAGGACTCCCGCAGGCCACGATGGGCGTCAACGGCTACTGCTCCTCTCAGGAATCGGACTGTGCCTCTGGGAAATCTGTTTCCGAGGACTCCAAGTTTGCCAAGCTGAAGTCGCCTTTGCTGGCTAATGTGACCAATCTGGAGCTGGGAAATACCATGTCCCCCCCACCTGCAAAAAAACTGGCCCTCTCTGCCAGGAAGGTGCGTTTTAGGGGTACTTTACCTCACCTACCTCCAAAATGGTGGCAAAATGGAGTGGTGATTTGGGTGGTGGGGTGGGGTTGATTCAGGCAAGGGGCATTTCAGGCTTGTGGCAGCACTGCAGACTCGATCACATATGCAGTTGTAGAGTTGGAAGGGATCATCTAGTCCAGGGTTCCCCAAACGTGGGTTTCCAGCTGTTTTTGGACTACAACTTCCATCATCCCTAGCTAGCAGGACCAGTGGTCAGGAATGATGGGAATTGTAGTCCAGAAGCGGCTGGAAACCCAAGTTTGGGAAACTCTGATCCAACCCCCTGCAAGGCAGGAATATTTTGCCCAAAGTGGAGCTCGAACCCACAACCCTGAGATTAAGAGTCTCATGCTTAACCAACTGAGCTGTTTTGTAGGTAGGAGCCCAGGGAGATTCATCACCTGGCCAGCTTGTAAGTCCCAAGTGCTTTCTGACTGCCCTCCTTACCTGCCAATCCATTGTTGCAAACTACAGCCCACACATAATGCAAAGTAGTCAAATCATGGCTTAGTGTGAAAAAGCAAATGTGCAGGTTCCCTGATTCAAGGATTGCGGCCACAGCACTCCTCTTGTGCTGCCCAGGGCAGAGCAGTGGCTTGGCCCAGGTTCAGATGCCGTTCTAAGCCAAACCATGGCTTGGTCCTGGGTAGCATGGCAGCAAGCAGAACCTGGGGAGGAGCAAAGCGGCTGAGATCTCCACTCCCGGAACCGGCATGCGCCCTATTCGTGCTCAGCCATGGCTTGATTCTACCTGCGAACAAGCTCAGTATTCTTTTAAGCAGGTGTCTTGCCTTGCGAATGCATTCTGTGCAGGGGGACCCTGTTTCCCCAGACTCTAGGGGAGAAACTTGTGTTCTGTAGAGCTGGTCTCCCCTCATTCTTGCCCCTTCAAATCCTCTTGCTTGGTGAGGCCCATATTAAAGGAGGCATTTCACTGCTCACAGGGCCAGAGCAGAGAGACCCTGGCTGGTTCTTTTCGTTCCTCTCTTTGGAAACAAGGAAGATGGGAAGGTGCCTGTTGCCCATTGTTTTATTCTAACACTGTTCTGTCTTTATACATGTCCTTCCTTCTTTTCCCTTTGTTTCTAACAGCAAACACTTTTCTGATTCTTTTTCCCTGTCCCACCCCCACCTGTTCTTTTGTTTTCCCCCTCCCCTCTCTTCTTGCTCTGCCCCCTGGGGTCACGGAAACCTCTTTTTAGACCACCAAGTTTTTATTTATGTCAATAACTACAGGGCAGCAACACACTGCAGAAACTGAGCAGCAGTGAGCGCCTGGCGCCGCCCCACCCTCCACCAGCTGCTACAAAAACCACCCACCCCGTCTGTGCCGCTGCGCTCGACTATCCCAGGTGAGCTCCCGGGGCCCTTGCGGGGGTGGGGGGTGGTCATAACCCTAGCCTGGCTTTCTGCACCCTGTCCTTGCTGTGTGGCTCTTTGGCTTGTCATAATAAGTCACTGCAGCGTTTGGTACTTTTCTGAAACAAAGCCTTTCTGGATTTGAGGGTGTTGCTGCAATTGCTAGCATGTGCCTTGAAGCCCACCTGTTACTGGGTTTTGTGTCTGGTTTGGGTGCTTTGGGCAAATGGACAGGGAATGAGAAACATCACCCCGCTTGGACACTATGTGTGAGAGCAGCCTCTGTGTTTTTTTAATTTGTGTTATATATACATTGGTACCTATGGTTGTGAACGGGATCTGTTCTGGAGGCCCTTTCGCAATATGAAAAGAGCGCAACCCGCAGCGGCGTGTCTGCGCACACACAAGTTGCGATTCGCTCTTCTGCGCATGCGCGTGATGTCATTTTGCGCGCATGCGTGAGCGGCGAAACCCAGAAATTTCAGGTACTTCCGGGTCGCTGTGGGATGTAACCTGAAAGAACCTAACATGAAGCGGACGTAACATGAGTTATGACTCTATATGTTTGTGTGTGTTTATCGTATGTGCGCGCGCGCACACACATGTATACAATGGTAAATGATATGGGTTGTAGCCAACGGCTTGTATCTATTGCAGCACTAAATAAGCATCCCGTCAGCACAGGGATTCCTGCTTGTGCAATGGGACTTGCCCCCCACTCCAAATTTGCTACAGAGGGTTGGAGGAATTCCTAGAGCAGATTGTGGGGGCGGGGGAGTTGTCGAACTGGTGATCCTTATGCTAACAGGATACTTGCGTAGTACTGCATTGTATGCAAGCCTCTGTTAGTCCTCAGAGTTGACCAGTTGCAGATAGTTGGCATGACCAACTTAGGTCCATTAGTTTCAGTGGGTCTACTCTATCTTCATTGGGTGCAACCCCATAGTAAGTATTAACAGATTAGTGGCAAGCATAATGCAATAAATATTTTTAAACCTATGTACATCCTAACAGCCACACATCACTTAAAATGCATTTGTTTTAAGACAGTATAATTGTATATTGCTTTAAAAGTAGCACATGGTTCGTTTAATCATATGTGACTCCGGTCACATCAAGTCAACAGAATAGAACTTCCAACTTCAAATGTACTCGTCGATATGGGGTTCAACTTTTTTCTTTTTATATTCATTCCACCCATGCTCCTCATATTTGACCTGTATTTCAACCTACATCTCACCAAACAATTGGGGTTCTCAGTTTATTATCACGTGGTCAACCTCTGCCTGTTTATGTTTTTAAATTTCACCATATGTTCTAGGTCCCAAACTTTTCCTATCCAAATCTCTGATTCAAGAGGGTCTGGTTTTCCCCAAGCCTGACATGTGGTCAAAAAGGCTGCTATTGCTATAAGGCGGACTGTCATTTTGAGATCTTCTTGGGGGTCCCACAATTCCTTTAAAATAGCCAGATAATACAACTGCTAAAGCAGGTGCATGCAGGGCTGCATTCTATTCTGGGCCCCTTTCTGTGGCAAAAGTGGGGCGAGCTAGGAATGTAATTTTTGTCCTTGCACAGTAGGCAAGTTTCTAAATACACTCATGCACCCCTCTAGAATCCTACATCCAGGCAACCGGAGTTCGATGGCACATACCAGCCAGATAAAATCCCTTGAGAAGGGTATGAAGTAGGATTGGCGAGGGCTGTGGCCCGGGGAGAGGGATTGTGGCCTACGGATGGTCGTGAGGACCATATCAAGACCTAGAGTGGCCGCATCTAGCCCCTATGCCTGAGGTTCTGCATCCCTCTAGTAAGGGCTGTCTTGGTAACTCATAATCCAATACTTTATTTCTCTTAGTACATGATTCCAGGCCACCATCTCTTGCCATATAACCTCACATCAGTGCAGTCTTCCTTCCCTACTCTTCTACTAGCGCTCAGTTGAGAGTCTTTTGCGTTGAGAGTCTTGTTGGCTCGCGTTGTTCTTTTGAGTTCTCCAGGGACAAGTGTACTTCCTGGGCGCAGGTTTGCCAACCGTCCAGCCTCTGCAGAGGTGCACAGCTGCATTGCTCTGTACTGCAAGCTTTTTGTGCTACGGCGAGACACTCTGTTCTTTGATACTAAACTCTTAAAAGCAATACAAATTAGCTTATACTTAGGTAGCAAAGCATCTGCATGCTTTGAATACAGATGGAACTTAAGGGGTTGTTTATCCTGCAAGAAGCAGTGCAGAACAGAGCAATAGAAGGAGGTGATCTCTAGGGAAATGCCCATGCGGGGGGGGGGGGTCCTCACTGCTCCAAAAAACCCCAAGAATTATTGTGAATGGCCTTAAAATATTCAAATATAGCTCCACAACCTGGTGAATATAAAAACTCAAGCACCAAAAGTGCCTTGGCAGGAGAGCTTTGAATTCGGCCCTGAAATAACTCCTCAATTAGGGCATAGAAATCCTCCAGCCCAGAAGAACTCCACGCCTGTGTTATGGAAATGTGCTAGCTGACCGTCCTATGTATGTCTTTAGGTGAATAAATCTCTATAGATGGAGCTAGAAGTGGCATGGAGCTTAGGACCCTCGTACCTACGGGACCACCTCTCCCGGTATGCCCCGCAGAGGACCTTAAGGTCCATAAATAGCAACACCCTAGAGGTCCCGGGCCCTAAGGAAGTCAGATTAGCCTCAACCAGAACCAGGGCCTTTTCAACACTGGCGGAACGCTCTGTCTCATGAGACAAGGGCCCTGCAGGATCTGATTTCTTTCTGCAGGGCCTGTAAGACAGAGTTGTTCCGCCTGGCCTTTGGCTTGGAATCAACTTGATCCCCTCCCCCTCTTTCCTTTTTCCTTTCTCCTTCTGTGATGGAACTCCTATTTGGGGACTTCCCTGGCTTTTTTCTGGACCAGTCAGGATAGTTGGACTTGGTGAAGATTTGACGTTTTCATCCCCCAAAAGTTTTTGAGTTTCTACTGAAATGAGGCTGCATTTTAATGTTGTATTTTAATCTTGTTTTTAAGTTGTATTTTAATCAATTGTTTTTATACCTGGTGTTAGCCGCCCTGAGCCCGGTCTTGGCTGGGGAGGGCAGGGTATAGATAAAAATTATTATTATTATTATTATTATTATTATTAGTGAGGAAACATTGCAGGGTCAGTGAAGTGGGGTTGGGCCTTTGGGATAGGGGCAGAAACAGTTCCAAAGCCTGACACCATACCAGTCTTAAGCCTGGAAGGAGCTGAATGTTTATTAATGCCTAGGACATGTGGGGTGGTCTGCCTCTGTATCCCAGTTGCTGCAGACCACAAGTAGGGAAAGGGCTGTTGTGCCCAAGTCCTGGGCACCTGGTTGACCACTCTGAGAACAGAATGTAGAATTAGATGCATGAATCCAACAGGGCTTTCCTTTGCTTCAGTTGACAATGCTTTGTCCTTCTGGGTGATGTGAGGGACCATTTATGTTGTGAAAGAGGCCGGCACTGGCTCTCTTTTAGAACAGAAACAGGTGTGGTCTTCTGCAGAGACTTCTGCCGCTTTGGCGTCGGTTGGCTCTTAGCTTTGTCTGTGTGTGATTCTCTAGGACGCCCTCATCTGCTTCCAAATCTTCAGCGCCTCCACCGCCGGCCAGCAGCGCCTTTGTCCAACCCTTGCCCAGCTTCAAATCATGCTGCCTCTCTGCCGCCCCTCTGCCGCCACCTGCGGTGCCCAAAGAGGCACTGAGCCACTCTTGCCCAGACCGGGACAAGAGGCCTTTCCTTGCCAGCTCCAAGAAGAGGAAAAGGAAGCGTAGCCTCTCGGAGGAAGAACAAGGCACCCATTGCATCCCAAGCACACGAACCATTGGTGCAGAGGGAACCTGCCTCTCCAACCCACCCAGGAAGAAGAGGCAACTCGAGGAAAACGGCAGGCCTGGAGACTCCTCTCCTGAACCGGAATCTGACTGGGTGGCAGCCAGGAAGGGAGAGGAAGAGGGAATAGCTGGAGGCTGCAAGGTAGCAGATCCTAGTCTAGCTAATTCCACCCAAAAGAGGAAAAAGAAGAAAAAGAAAAGGAAGCTGCAGCAAACAGAGGAAGACTGTAAGCCTTTGCTGTCCCCTGTGAACAGGTGAGTGTTTGCTTGGTTGTCTTTTCTAGGGGAAGGGCTTTGCTTGGAGAGAGAAACATGAGCACTTGACATCTCCACCATTTGGAGGTGCATGCCTGGGGATCCTTGGATCTTGACTGTTTTCACACACTAATACCTCATCCTCTAGAATTCTATTGGTTATATTTTATCTGTGCAATCGGAATGAATTTCAGGAACCAGCATGTCTTTTCTGTGCAGCCAGAACAGGAGCAGTGAACAGCATTATAGGCTTGTCTTCACTTAACCCACCTGCTCAGTTATGAAGCATATTCTTATGTTATGAATGGTCTGTTGTCACCATTAGGGAAAAAGAGGTCAGAAATAGGCCATTGTATATGTGGACTGTCCCTGGATCAAGTAATTTTCCTTAAGTTCTCAAAATTCTTAACCTAGCTCAAGGTTGTCATCTGAACTAGCCAGATGTTTAACTGCGAATCACTCAAGTCAATCCATCATTTGAAAAATAAGGCTTGCCATCTTGCCCAAAAATGGCAACTGGACATTCCATTTTGGCGACTTTAACCTTGGTTTGAGGAGCCATTTGGTGCCTAGGCTTATATATCTGAGTTTCTAACACTGTTGGGATGGCAAGCCATGAAGACTTAGACTAAGCTCTCAGACCCCTCTGTGAATTGCTAGGTAGGAGTGTGTTTCCTTGTTACCTGAGTCTCAAGGGTCTTTGGGCCTCCCCCCTGCCCCCCCATCACCTTCAATAATAATAATAATAAATAATAATAATAAAGCAAGTGGAGCCTTTGAGCCTAGTGGAACCAAGCGTTGCCCTGTGTTTACACAAGTCCTTCCTGCTGCCTTTTCGACCAATGTTTTGCATAATCCTGGCCCTTCCTGTCTGGTTGACCATCTTCTTTCCTCCCCTTTAAAGGACTGTGCCTACAAACCTGAGGCACTTATTTTTGAGGCTTCAATCCTGTGCAAGCTCAATTGGGAGTAAACTCTGCTAAGCAGAGTGGGCGGTCTCCTGAGTAGAGATGTAGATGTATTAAACAAGCCAAAAGGTACAGCTCAATAATTTTGACAAGAAGAAAGCAAGCACAGCATATAGTTCAGTTCCCCCAGCAGTTCCTCTTCCTCGCCCCTGTAAAATGAAAAATCTGAGGGAGGGGGAAGTATGCCTCCCAGATTTCCAGAAGCCTGGTGCTTCTTATCTGTGTATAACTAAAAATAGGTTTTGGGATTCTGCCGCTGCTACTGGTACAGACTGCGGGGCGTTTTGCTCAGATGCATTTTGCAGAATATACATCTGCCTAGAGATGAAACTGACGGTTTCTGACTGGCATCTCTCTGTATGCCTGATCCTTTTAAGCAAGATCATGTAGCTGAAGGCTAGGCTTGCCATACATCAGGAAAATTCCTGACATGTCCTCGCTTTCAGGTGTAAAAATGGCATTGGGGTAATTTTGCTGAATCGCAAAATACACTCATGCACCCCTCAAAAGCTCAACTTTTTGAAATAATGCAACCCTACTGAAGGCTAAGGGACGCGGGTGGCGCTGTGGGTAAAAGCCTCAGCGCCTATGGCTTGCCGATCGAAAGGTCGGCGGTTCGAATCCCCGCGGCGGGGTGCGCTCCCGCTGCTCGGTCCCAGCGCCTGCCAACCTAGCAGTTCAAAAGCACCCCCGGGTGCAAGTAGATAAACAGGGACCGCTTACCAGCGGGAAGGTAAACGGCGTTCCGTGTGCTGCGCTGGCTCGCCAGATGCAGCTTGTCACGCTGGCCACGTGACCCGGAAGTGTCTCCGGACAGCGCTGGCCCCCGGCCTATAGAGTGAGATGGGCGCACAACCCCAGAGTCTGTCAAGACTGGCCCGTACGGGCAGGGGTACCTTTACCTTTACTGAAGGCTAAATCTGGACCCTCTCAGAAACATGGGCTGCTGGTTGCTGGATAAGCCATGGAAAATTGGAAAGGAAAGGAAATCATATAAATATGCTTAATTTTTCTGAGTGCTAGCCCTTATGTGGCACCAAACAGCACCATATTGGCACAGATATATTAGGCGTGGGGTGACCTCAAGGTTTACAGAAGGAAAAACAGTAGGGGGGAGAGCCCCTGAATAGCCCAGTAAGGACTGAGCATGCTCAGTACCAAATAATGCTGACTGGTTCTTTGCGGGGAGGGGGGTGGACTAAATATCTGGGAAGAGGGGCATGTTTAGCTGGCTGGAATCCTGAACTGGAACACCCACCCACCCCAGTTCAGCATTTTGTTGTGAGACTTCGCTCGCATGTATAGCGGTCTTCATCTTTGGAATCTGCATATAAATACATGACGAGCCCTTTTGTGTCCTATTTCATTCTTTTATGCAGAAAGTTCAGTTTTGATGGAGGCCGTTTTAAGAGACTGGTTTTTATTTTTACCTATTTATTAGATTCATATACCGCCCTTCATCATAAGATCTTCGGGTGATTCACAGAATAAAAAAACAGGATAAAAACAAGTAAATAAGTAAAACAAAACATCAAAACAATACCCCGCCCTTTCCCACAGACACATTTAAAAAGCGGTAGAGTATTAATCAAGGGACGCGGGTGGCGCTGTGGGTAAAAGCCTCAGCGCCTAGGGCTTGCCGATCGAAAGGTCGGCGGTTCGAATCCCCGCGGCGGGGTACGCTCCCGTTGCTCGGTCCCAGCGCCTGCCAACCTAGCAGTTCGAAAGCACCCCCGGGTGCAAGTAGATAAATAGGGACCGCTTACCAGCGGGAAGGTAAACGGTGTTTCCGTGTGCGGCTCTGGCTCGCCAGATGCAGCTTTGTCACACTGGCCACGTGACCCGGAAGTGTCTCCTGACAGCGCTGGCCCCCGGCCTCTTAAGTGAGATGGGCGCACAACCCTAGAGTCTGTCAAGACTGGCCCGTACGGGCAGGGGTACCTTTACCTTTACCTAGAGTATTAATCAGCCAAAGGCCTGGTTGAAGAGGAATGTTTTCACCTGGTGCCTAAATATATATATAATGAAGGCACCAGGCGAACCCCCCTGGGGCGACTATTCAACAAACAGGGAGCCACCACAGAGATGTTGCCACCCTCTGTACCCCGAATGGAGGGGGCACACAAAGAAGGGCCTCAGATGATGATCTCAGAGTCCATTTGGGTTCATATGGGGAAAGGGTCCTTGGGGTGGTATTCTTCGTACTTTCTCATTGCATTCAGATACAGTTTTAAAGCAGGTTATTTTAAAGCAATGGTTGCTGATTGTACTTCTTTTCGGGGGGGGGGGGGAGGCAGTTCTAACTTTAAAAAAAATAAATGAATAAAACCAAAGGGGTTGGCTGTTGTTTTTTAATCCATTTTGCAGCTGCCCTCCACAGCGCAAGGCAGAAGCCTGCCTAATAGCCCATGAGCCGGTGGAGGAGTCCTGCAGCCTGAAGAAGAAGAAGAAAAAGAAGCAGAAGCAGCTTCCTTGCCCAGCTTCGGACAGCGGCAGCCCTGCTGGAGAGAGCGAGCACCGAAAGCACAAGAGGAGGGAGAAGCAGGGGGGCTCTGTGCCAGAGGCCAGCAGCCCCCAAGAAGAACAGAGAGAAAATGGCCTTTCCTCTGCTAGAATCAGCCCCCCAGGTTTGAGACATATCTATATCTTAGCTGGGTATGTGTGCGGAGAAAGGAGATTTAAGAGTGGGGGCGGTGTACCCCCCAGTTCAGATCAGCTCCTAGAATGGGCATAGGGGAGCTTCGACTTGCTGCAGTTCTAAACTAGGCTGAGCTGCCATCAGCTCCACTGTATCTGTGAAGAGCAGTAGTGACACTTGCCCCAAACCCAGAGCTCTTTTTGGGACGCGGAAGAACTGTTACCTATTTATATATTTATATATATATACACACACACACACAAGTGGTTTCCTTATGTCCAAACAAAAGCAGTATAGGTGCCTGTCAGGACTGGTCATTGTCCTCTTCAGATCACCACACAAACACTTCTTGTTCTTTCATAACTTTTTATTGTGTATTAACAAACAACTTATAAACTGTTCTTATCTTTAACTATTATTCCTCAGAGTCACTTATTTCAGATACCTTCTGAGCTCTGCTTCTCCGTGACCAGCAACTCTCAAAATGGCGAACGCGCCCTTCCTTTCACTTTCCCGCTCTTTTTTCTAACCACCTCGCTATAGCTGGCTTGTATCTCCCCTCCTCCGAATCTGAGCTATATTAGATTCACTGCTCTCCTCCCTCTCTTGGGGAAAACTTTCTCCCTCTGGGAAACTGGAAACTTCTAACTCTAACTCTTCCCTGACACTAACTACTTAGCAACTACGTAGAATGTGGCAGTGGGTTTTCTCCCAAGGTTTCCTCTGCTTTTGTCCCAAGGCTTCATAGCCTCTCCCTGTTTGGTTTATGCACATTGGGCATCTCTTCCTAGGCATGCAGATGAACTCAGACGTAACCCCCACAGCTCAGACATGTTGACGCCCAACAACCTAAGCTCAGTTAAACAAGCCGTTGTGATTAATTCTGGGTGCAAACCCTAGGAACTTGTGCAGTATTGTGGTTGGTGGAGATGTTCCAATAGTCTGTTGGTGTCTTGCACGTGTTTCCCCCCTGCAGGTGTAAGTGAGCATTTTTACCTTGGCCCGTGGACCACTGGGAATGCAAATCACACACCTGTTCCTGGGGTTGTGTTTCTTTTCAGTTCTGTTCCCTTGGTTTCCCTGGCACTGCTGCAGAGTGGCAGGTCAGATTTGCTGCATGACATGATTGTGCCAATACTTCTTACCACACACCCTTCCTTCTTTCCACAGTGGCCTTGACCTGGACTGGCAGCCAGTTTAGACATGGGGACAAGTGCTCCTGGAACATCCCAAGTCCAAAGAAGGAAGTGGTACATCAGAAGCACGAACAGTTTGATGTGGTCCAGGAGCTACTGAAGGATTCTTCAGATAAAGCTTATGGAAAGCAAGGTACAGTACTTCTTTAAGGAAAGGGGTCTTCCCATAAACAGATGAGGGCCCTACTGCTCCTGTGTTTTGGAACGGGTTTCCTCCTCTTAAGCCACAGTAGGAAAACAAATAATGGGGATCTTTGGCATTCTCAAAAGGCACCCCGTGTTTTATGATAGAAGTGCATGTAGATAAGACAGTGTCCCTGTTTCTCTATCTGCGCTTCTGGTGATAGCACTTTGCTGTCTTCTTCAGTGGAGAAATGAGGAAAGGGCAGAGGGCTGGGATAGTGAGGAAGGATTGCCACCAGGGCCGGCCCACCTATGAGGCAAGCTGAGGCGACATGCCTTGGACGGCAGGACCCACAGAGGCACCAGATAATTGTGTCTTTGGTAATTGGATTGTTCTTATTATAAAATGAAAAATAAAAACCACAGGGGCAGCAGATCCTGATGTAGATCTTTATTCCCCACCCTGTTCCTGATGTAGATCTTCACTCATCCATTCTTCCCTGGTGGGGAGGGCGGCACCATTTTGTGGTTTGCCTCAGGTGCCGAAATGTCTTGGGCCGACCATGCGTGCCACGACCCCCAGCTCTTCTTTGCCAATGTGTTTCCTCCACAGTGTTGACATGGGATGGCGAGGTGTCGGCCATCAGCCAAGCTGCCATGCAGGATGCTGTATGGTCTCAGAGCCAGACAGTCATTGACGATTGGGATGAAGAGTTTGACAGTGGGAAGGTAAGAAGCCTAGCCTGTTGCAAGCCTAGCCTAGTGTGTTCAGTTGCTAGTTTGGATTGTTTTTAAAACAGACTTCCCATCTTGAAAAGCATATATTTCTTCAGCATGCCTGCCTGCTCAGTTGTTGCTAGAACAATCAAAATACATCGGCTTGCATTTCTAATAGAGCTGTTATATGACCTATGAGCATGAGCCAAATTTTAGGCTTAGTGGGTGATCCTAGTGATAGTCAGGAAGACATCTTTTGGATTTCAGTCCCATTGATCACTTGCTGACCAAGCCTCTGGGTTGTTATTATTTAATTAATTTCTGGTGAGTAGAGTGGGGAGGGAATGTCCTTTCTACGCTTCACTTGATGTGGATGGCAGCTTGGATGCTAGAAGCTGGAACAACCACACGTTCTTTCTTCTTGCCATAGGTGAAGAAAATCAAGAAACTCAAGCGTGAGCGGAGAAGAAATGGCAATGCGTTCCAGAAACTGCAAAGCCGGCGTAATTTCTGGGCCGTGACACATCCCGCTAAAGTTGCTAGCCTGAGCTATTGGCTTTGAGATGGTGAGGAACTTGAGTGCCGCCTACCAGAGGGATTTGGGGAATTGCAGTTTATGGAGTGGGCAAATGGAAAATTATTCGGCGGTGGAAATGACTCGTAATTAGGACTGTGGTGCCTGTGTGCAAGGGGTGGGAAGGCGTATTTGATTTTGCAAACGCAGTTGTTAAACAATGCACTGATTTTGTTTGTGCCATAAAGGGTCCTTCATCAGCTGCAGACACCAGGTTCTGTTTGCTTTTAAAATGTGACCGTTTGAGTACCTACAGCAAATATTAAGCTTGTGTAGTCCTTGCTTAGTCTGATTACATTATTCTAAATATGGAAGTTGGATTCTTGTCTTTTACAACTCCCAACTTCTGCCGAGGGATTTGAGCAGTGACAAGGGAATTATTGTAGGACCTTCTACAATATGCAGGTGTAGGAGTTCTACAAAGCAGCGTTGCCATTCTTTTTCCTTTCCCTCATTTAAACCTGTGGTTGCAGGATCTCTGTTGCCCCCTTATTTATTTATTTTAGCTTGCTTTTTTCAACTTTGTTCTCTTCCTTCTGCTCCTCACACCACCCAGTGGTCAAGAGGGTGCAATCCAGTAACACTTTTCCTGTGGCACTGATTTGTTCTCCATCTCGACCCCGCAGATGAGTTCTTGGCTGCAGCAGTGCTATGGCAAACTCCGGTTCTTTGGAGCGCCCGGTGACCAACACAATACTGTCAACAGTCGCAAGTTGCCAACTCAACGGGACTCACGGGGAATGTCCTCCTCTTGCCTTGAAGGCTCTGATGGATCTTCTGTGCAGTGCCTGGGGAAATGCAGGCACCCATCGCCGCTTACTTGCAAGAGTGTCACGAGGAGCCTTTGCCCGGGGAAGGTCCTGTCCCTGGGTACCCGTGGGCATCAGGCATGGATCAGCAGTGGAGCTAAGAGCAACTAGCCCTTTTGAAATGAAATCCCTCTGTTGCCTCCGCCCGTCAGCATGATGAGCTGTGATGCCCTCTGTTCCCTTTCCTGCCAAGAGAAGATTGAGAAAGCCGAGAGCTGTGTCCCAACTCCTCAAGAGCTGGATGTTGTTGTGGTACATTTGCCCCTTTCCCCACTCCCTGGCTGAGTCATTAGGACAGGATGCAACCGACATGGCATTTCTCCACCCATCTGCAGCCCCTTCTCTGGTTTATCCCATTTCAGAGAAGTATGAAATGCTCCACTCTGGAACTATTTTCCAAGACCATTTCCCACATGCTCTTCCTGCTGTACAAAACACTTGGGACTTGAGTTTTGTGCAGCCAGGAAAGCGGGTGGTCAGGTCATCCTGCCCTGTACAGTTGTGTTCAAATGCATTCACTGCCAGGGCTCTCGAAAGGTGCTGCTTTGCAATGACAACTTCTCGGTAGCATTCTCCAGCCATAGTTAAGTCACGGTTCATTTGAGATTTGCCTGTTGCTGGAGTGTGTTGCTTCAAGCTGCAGGCAGGGGAAGAAATGTTTGAATTCTCCACACAACAATAATAATTAAAAAAAATCCATGCACACATTAACTAGGAGTTCTTTTCCACAAAGGAGTGTTCAGACATTCACACCCCCACTTGCAGTCTTGAATCTTCCTTGCTTTGGGTCTTTCTTCCATGCCTCCTCTTAAGCGTTGTCCTCATTAACTTCCGGCAGGCATCATTGCACAGCTTGTGTGGCAGAAGTTAATGACTCCAAGAGGACCTGAGTCTCTCGCAGCATATTTCCAACTTGGGAGTTTGCGTTGGAGAGAGGTTGCCCGAAACATCACTTGCTTTGGCACCAAGGCAGAGTGGGCTGCTGCCTGCCAAAATGAGAGAGACCCAAGTGTCCCTGTGCCAAACCTTTTTCAGTGGGTAGTTGTCAAGCCAAGTGGTGCAAGGGCTCCTGTTCCTGCAGGGCTGGCCTAGGGTTTCCTTTATTCCCTTGCATCTGCTGCTGTCCAGCTGTTAACCTCGGTGGCTTACTCCCAGGTAGGCAGCCTTTACCTGTAACTTCCCCACAAGTGCATGATTGGTTGGAGGGGCAATCCGTGTGCATCCCACCCATTCCCAGCATTGCTCGTTCAACTTTGGCACCCATTTCCTCTCTTCATAGATTGGGTGCAAAGGTTGAAAACTAGCTTTATTTTCTCCACCGTATCAAAGCAGTTACCAAAACGGTTTTGGCCATTGCATTTAATTTGAGCTGATGATTTATTATGATTATTACAATTCTTTTTTTTTTCTTGGGAAGGGGGGGCACTGACCCTGTTCACTCTCTCAGCGGGGAGCAGTCTCTTCCCCTCTGGCAGTGCCCGTTTAACAATCTCCTGCCAACATGTAGATACCCCAAGCGGGTATTATGCACCTCATGCTGGGGCTTGCTGCAGTAGCCCTAGTTGTAGCAATGGTTCATGGTGCAATAAAGGAATGTTTTGTGTATGTGTGTGTGTTCAGTCTCGTCGATCAGTTTCTCTTGTGATTGATTGCAGCAGTAATTCTTCCATGACCGCTCACCTCTTAAGCTTGCCATTAGTCTGAAGCCCTAGCTGAGAACTACTATGTTCCACTTGGTTTATCCCCCTTGTCTCAGGCCTTCCTACTCTCACTTTCTGTGGACACTCATCTATCTGTGTAGTTGCAGCACCGGGGTGGTTATGTTGGGTACTTTTCAAGACATCCTAACATCGTAACACCCTTATGTGCATGTCTTTGCTTTAGCCTATTGCAGAACTGAAGGCAAAAGCTAGAGGGAAGACTTGAGCCCAGCCTCTGAAATAAGGGCATTTGACCTAACCAGTAGAAACAAGTGGATTTTTTGGGGGAGGGGGGAATCTCGTGCCCCTTAGAGACTAATCCCCACTACCCACCTGAACAGCCTCCGCATTATAGAATCATAGAATTGTAGAGTCTGAAGATACCCCGAGGGTCAGAACCCTCCAGCAATGCAAGAATCCCAACACATTGTCCCCCATCCAGTTTGAAACTATACTGGACCCTGCTTAGCTTCGCAACATGCATGGGGTCAATGCATATTGCAAAGATTCTCAAACCCTTGAGGAGGAGAGGTTTGCTGCAGTGGTTGAAAGGCCATGTCACTTCCAGGTTCACCCCAACTCCACCTGAACAGCTTTACAGCTGTAGATTTTATATATGCCACATTCAGTGGAGCGAATATTCTTCCTGTGGTTTGCTGTTAAGCACACACGTCATGCTGAGAAGTTGTTGCGTTACCATGCTCCCTTATAGGGAGCGAGTGTAGGAAGCTGCTGTTCTACTCGTATCAGGCTATTGGTCCATCTTGCCTCGTATTGTTTACACTGACTGGCAGTGACTCTCTGGGGTTTTTGACCCTACCTAGAGATGCTGGGGATTGAACTTGAGTTCTTCTGCATGCAAAAGTTGTGCTCCACCACTGAGCTACAGCCATTCCCCAAAGATGCTAGATACTGTAGCTAGTCAATGTTTTTTTCTAGTTTATTTTTAATTGAGATTTAGAAGGTTTTGGAGGCAGGCAAAGGGGGCCACTAACTGATAGGGGAAATCACAGGGACCCCTACAGGTTTGTCTGTGGCTGTTGATGGTGCAGTAATGTCCCTCAGGAGAGCAGAACTATATGCTCTGATGTTCTTGGCCAATGTTGCTGAACCTGCCAAGAGTGCCTAAATGCAATTTACAGTGGTACCTCGTGTTAAGTACTTAATTTGTTCCGGAGGTCCGTTCTTAACCTGAAACTGTTCTTAACCTGAAGCACCACTTTAGCTAATGGGGCCTCCTGCTTCCGCTGTGCCACCGGAGCACAATTTCTGTTCTTATCCTGAAGCAAAGTTCTTAACCTGAAGCACTATTTCTGGGTTAGCGGAGTCTGTAACCTGAAGCGTATGTAACCTGAAGTGTATGTAACCCGAGGTACCACTGTATTGTTGAATCACTCTTAAAGAAGGGCCAGGTCCTACTTTGGCAATGAGGGCACTTCTCTTGTAGTTCCAGTAGTAAACCAGTACAGTAGAACCTCTACTTACCACCGACCCTACTCGCAAACAATTTGATTTGTGACCATGGCAAACTCAGAAGTAAATACCAGGTTTGCCACGATTTGCGCACATGCAGAACAGCACTGCTGCCGAATGTGCACGCACAGAACTGCGCTTCTACCAGCGATCCGGATCGACTCACGAACAGACCTCCGGAACGGATTCAGTACGTTACTAGAGGTTCCACTGTAGTGCAAACTCAACACATGCCAAAACAATAAAAACGCTGTTTGGAGCAGAGCGCCAGAAATGCATTATTGGCTCGAGCAGTAGCCCTAGGTCCTAGGGCCTAGGACATGCCTGTCCAAAGTCTGTTTCGGGGGCCTAATCCGGCACACCGGTCAATTTAATGCAGCCCCTGTGGCAGTATATGTTGTGGGATAAAATCCTTAAAAAAAGCTCAACAACTTTGGGGGCAAAATTGTAAAAAAGCTTAACTTTCGTCAGTCCTTAAAAGCTTGCAGTCGACAAGAGGGTTGCCCTAATCATTTCTGTCATAAACCCTCAATGTTTCTATGATGGTGTATCTAGAGCTTCCCATGCTATACTGATTTAGAATGTTATTTTGCTTGCTGATCTAGGAAAGGGTTAGGAAAGAGCCTGTTTGACTGGTCCTGGCAACAACTTGTACATCGCCTGCAGGAGCTTCCTCACACTTTTGAGAAATCATTGTAAATATTATCCACAAGGAGTCTTCTTGCATTATAAGCACTGAACTATCCAGCCTGTCACACTGATTAAATGGTAGGTGCTAAAGCAGAAGCTGCTGCTCAAGAAACCACTCATATAGTGCTATTCCTGTTTTCAGGCAGGGACGCCTAATATGTATGGAAATGCATATATGGCTTTTTACCCAGTATCCAAGTTTGTTTTTTTGTTTTAATCCAGAATAACTAGCCACAATACTGTACAGCTAAGTAGCTCTGAGAGTTCTAAATCTGCTACAGGACTCCGTAGGTGGCGCAGTGAAAATAGGAGTATGTTAAAATGATTGCTGCTTCTTGCTTATATAATAATAATTATAGTTAATTGCTGGAGCTAGTTCCGTTTTTAGTTGCTTCCCTAAGGAGACACCTGTTCATACCCCAGGAATTCTCAAACACACCTGAAGAGGGGTTGGGTTGATCACAGTATCTGATGCAGATGGATTCCTGACTTTGGCCTCCTTCATTGGTAACAGCCTTTCCCAGTTTATTAAACAACAAAAATGCTATTCCTAAACACTGTTAATCCCCCTCTTTAACCTCTCCTGTCCCCATGTAATGGAGGCAGAGTAGCCCTGCAGATTGGGGGTGGATGCATGCTGGGGGTGCAAAATCAAGTTGCAGTTGGGCCAGTGTGATCCCAACTCCGCTCCCCACCCTGATGATGTATGGCCTACTAACATCTCTTCCTCTATAAAAAAAATGTGCAGTGCTGAAAGAGAATCCAAGGTAGAGAACGAAGGTCAATCCTGCCCAGGGCTGACCCACCCACAGGGCAAGGTGAGGCAACCCAGGTGGCAGGATCCACAGGAGCAGCGAACCTGAAGTAGATCTTTATTGGCACTCCTTGTTCCTGATGTAGATCTTCATTCCTTTCCTGGTGGGAAAAGGGGAGCCATGTTGAGGTTCACTTCTGGTGTCAAAATGTCCTTGGCTGGCCCTGATCCTGCCTGTTGGGCCACAGCACCCTGGAGTGGAATTCCCACTTCTCACAGACAGGTGGGACGCTTTTATTTTTGTAAGAAAGCTAATACTCTGCTGCTATTAAATTACACCCCGTCCTCTTGTCAACAGCAAGCAACCTAGTGACACCCGCCCCGTCGACTCCTCCCTCTGAACCAGTGTGGTGTAGTGGTTAAGAGCAGTGGACTCTTAATCTGGTGAACCGAGGTCGCGTCTCTGCTCCTCCACATGCAGCTGCTGGCTGACCTTGGGTCAGTCACACTTCTCTGAAGTCTCTCAGCCCCACTCACCTCGCAGAGTGTTTGTTGTGGGGGAGGAAGGGAAAGGAGAATGTTATCCGCTTTGAGACTCCTTCGGGTAGTGATAAAGCGGGATATCAAATCCAAACTCTTCTTTCTGGGCAAGACAAGGAACGCAAGGGACCATTTTGCTTCACAGGAGACCCCACGGCGCCCAGGCACATCCCGCTCTCTGACTCCTGAGAAAACCGACTCTATTTAAATTTAAAATTAATTAATAACCCGCCCTTCCTCTCAAAGCAGCCCAGGGAGGCAGCTTGCTATCTCTCCAGCCTTTATCAGCAACGCTGTCCTCAGGACACCAAGGTGGGCACCGCGTGGCGCGGGCAGCAAAAGGCGCTCCTCCTCCCCAGTTGCAATTAATGTAGGTGCTCATGAGTAGAACACAGTTTGCTATGCGTGCGTGGGCGTGTGCAGGTGTGCAGTTGCAGCGACAGGTTTGCAAGCCGCAGAAACAGCGTGCTCCGGATCCGACGGTACAGCAGCTGCAGCAACCGTTGCTTTTGCTCCGAGGCTCGGGACCGCGTTGCCCGTCACGTGGGCAGCGAAGCCTCGCCTTTTTCGCGTCGGGTTTCAGGGGGAGGTACCACCGCCCTCCTCCTCCTCCTCCCCCTCCCTCCCCAGTTCCCATCACGTGTGCTCGGCGGTGGGAAGGAACTTGCTGAGTAGCGGCGGCAGCAGCAGCAGCAGCCCCATAGCTTTAGCAGCCGGGCAAAGCAGCCGTGCAGGAGTCTGGCTGGTAACATGGAGGAGGACGAGGAGAGCGGATACGGTGAGCTGGCGAATGAATTAGACGCATCCAAGGAGACGGGAAGGAGCATCTTTGGCTGGGCCAAGGTGGGGGGGGCCGGGTCTTAATGGCAAGGGTGGGGGCGCTCAGGGAAGGAGGGAGGGATTCGTTCAAGCCTTAATCTTGCGACTAGTTAACAGGGGGGGAGTGGCCCTTGCATGTTCAGCGAACTGTCCTTGGCTTAAAGCGGGGAGTGTGCAGTTGCTGCCCCACCACCACCATCCCGACACACACACATTCGGATTTGGGAAGGAGTCTCTCTTTGCATCCTTCCTGGTCTTAGCAAGAGAGGATGAACGGGATTTGGGAGCTGTGTGGCCGGTTGTCCTGAGGGGGGTCCTGCCTGAGTGGACTCTGAGGGTGCGCTAGTAAATCCCGAGGAGAGATCGGCTCCTGAGCATAGGAAGTAGAGATTGTGCAAGGCCGTGGTGCGGTGCGGGGTGAGGTGCCATTGGTTCAGGGTGGGGTCACAGAGGGTGCTCTCTTGGGTATCTCGGTGGGTGGGTAGGGCTACCTTTTTTCTTAATCACCCCCTATGGAGGAGGGCAGCTGCCCTTCCCGCGAGGGAGAAGAAGGGAAGCTTCTGGGCAGCTGTTCCAGCCCGTGGTCGCAGGGCGAGGACAGCTGTTCATTACAATGGGGTGCGCGGAGA